GCGAGCAGAGAGAGTTCTCAGGGGGGAGAGAGGGAGAGAGTGGAGAGAGTGGAGAGGGAGGAGAGATGGAGAGGAGAGCCTTTGAGCCTTGGCACCAGCCAGGCAGTTGAGTTGGCCCTGGCACCAGCCTTGGCAGTTGATTTGGCCTTGGCACCAGCCTTGGCGGGCGGGCACGCGGGACATGCACAGGCGCCAAGGGGCGCAGAACCGACCTAACCCGTCGGAGGTGGGGGGAAGGGAGTCCCGCCGGGTTCCCCTGCGTGAGCGCGAGAGTAACCCCAAGAGGGCTGAAGATGAGCGGTGCGCGCAGGGGTCGGCGTGGACGGGGCGAGGAACGCGCCGCGCGGGGCGCCGCCTCACCGGCCCAAGTGGCGCAGAGCGAGGCGGCGAGAACCGCGAGCGAGCACGTGAGCCCCGTGGCTCCAACCAGGCCCTTCCTTTTTTGAGCAGGTGTGACGCCGCGCGAGCGACGCTCCGAGATCGCCCGAGATAGCGCGGCGCGGCCCCGAGATCGCCCGAGATAGCGCGAGATCGCCCGAGATTGCGCGGCGCGGCCCGAGGCGAGGTGGGTGGGCTGGGAGCGAGGGGGCGGAAGTGTGCAGTGCGGTAGATGGTCAGTCGAGGCGCGTGAGCCGGACTTGTGGGCCGGACCACCCAAGTCCTTTACTCTGCGTTGTTGAGCCAGGACTCAACATACTCGTTCTGTCGCCGTCCCAAACTGTCACTCCCCTTTCTCCCGGCCGGGGCGGGGCGCGCGCGGGGGCGGCGGGTGTGCGGCGAGTGTGCGGGATGTCTGTGGGCCCGAGAGCGATATGCCATGTCCGCCTTGCGTTTGTTTCATAACATCGAAGGCTAAGCTCATAATAAAGAGCGACATAATAAAGAGCGATTCATTTTATAATAAAGAGCGATATAAAGAGAGTGGTCGGCGGGATTGCAACCAGTCTTCGCGTGCCGCCTGTCGTTCGCTCGGGCGCCTTGGGCGTCGGGGTGGCGAGCAGGGGACGCAGCTCTGAGCGCCCAGCGACGCGTGCCGGATGGAGTCCGGCCGCGGGTGACTAGGGAAGTTCGCTCAGGATGTGTGGCAGCCGCCCCGTTGGCTGAGTGTCTTGTCTTGTGGTTCTGTGTGTCGCTCCTGTGTGACCGTCATCGCCCGTCCTGCGTCCACCCTCACTGATGTGTTCATCGGGGGGGGTCATAACAAACACGGTACAGGATCGAGGTGCACGCTGCCAAAGCAGTGTCGTCCCCCCTCTCCCCGACGGCGATGGCGGTGTGACCGATCGAGCTACAAGAGGAGCTTGGTCAGCATGACCTCGCGTTTGTTTTGTTTGTTTTTTTTGCGCGGATGCAGCTGGCGCCGCCGCGGCGTCGGCGCCGCGATCAACCGCGCTCCAGCAGCGAGCGGTGCAGGGCGGCTACCGACATGACAGTTGGCCACGGCGTCTGTTAACCCCGGGTCGGTGACCCAGTGCTGCGCCTGCCTGTTGCCGATCGAGAGCGGCGAGACGCACTCGCTTATCGGCTGCGCCGGCGGGCACAGAATCCATAAGGACTGCCTGCGCGACTGGCAGCGCACCGACTGTGCGCGCGGGCTGCGGTGCCGCGCGCGCTCTGACGCTGCGTTGAGCGGCGGCGGCCGGCAAGCTGTGCCGTGCCCGACGTGCTGCATAAACGAAAAGGGCTTCGGCCACCTGGCCATCGGCAGCGACGACGACGACGTCGACGACGATTACGGCGGCGGCGGCGGCGGCGGCGGCGGCGGTAGCGGCGGCGGCGGCGGCGAGGAGGAGGAGGGGGAGGAGGGAGAGGAGGTGGGCGGCGAGGAGAAGCCCGCGAAGCGAGCCCGCTTCAGCTTCACGCAGCAGCTCCCGGAGCCGGCGCGGCGCGCGGCGGGCGTGATCGC